AGAGCTTTAGATATTGGATGAAATATAAAATATCCCTAGATTCTGTTAATGTGTTTATTTTTGTACCTAATATAGTTGTAGAGATATAATAACAAATTGCTGTGCGAAAAATACATTGATTTCTTATCACTTTGATTTATAATTGAGATCTAACTTTTATTATATAAAAATATCAATAAACTATACATCGGTAAACGTTATATGGATAAAATTTAAAAATATATTTTTTTTTAAATTATTCGAGGATAGACATTTACAGCACTATTATAATTCCAATATGTTGTCATCACTGTTTGTCAAAAATTAAATGTCATTTATTGATGTTGGTAGCTTGGCGCCCTTTCATACATTTACATATACTTTCACTAAGGAAGTCCCGCCTCTTAAACGTAGTGATTATATTCTCTTTGTCTACTTTTACAAATGTTTTAAAGCATCATGGCGCTATATATTCTCCTACGTTCTAAACTTATTATACTATTTAATAAGTAACTGTGAATATGAATGGTGATCGCTCGATTTAAAGTTAATGCAATGTAAGAATTAGCGTTGTATTGATTCTATTGAATATTTGTAATTCAGTTGTAGTTATGCCTGCTACTTGATGCATTCTCGAAACGGCCTAGGCCAACTGGCTCAGTGGTCAGGCTTTTAAAATAAGAAGTACCTACTTGTTATCGCTTAAGTTAACAAGTTCCAGTCTTAAAGCGAAATTTGGACACAAACCTGAACCAGTGAAGTTTTAGACAAAGTTAAATGAGGAAGGCGGTTCCACGAGTGTTGCAGTTACGAACTAATTTACATCGACAGTATGAATTATCGAATGTGCTTGTTCTCCTAACATTTTAAAACTATAAAAACAAAATTGTTAATAATGTCCAGATTTTCTATTGCTATTGATAAAAATAGAAATTTATAATACAATCTTTTTAACTACAGTGTTAGCCTTTGAACTTTTCTAATAATATTTTACAAGAACCTGTAATTCAAAACCTCACATATAATTTTTTTTTATAGAATAAGAATGTCAAACGAGCACATACTCATCCTGCTGGAAAGTGGATGCTATGGCGCATAGATTTCTACATCTACATCTATCCTCGATTAAGTATCAAAATACAAAAGCGTTGTCAATCCTGAGGACTAAGATGGAATGTCTCGTTTCCTCCGGTTCTTTTCACTCACAAACGAGAAACGAAAGAAGCTTAGGCTGTTTGTTTTCCGCGTAGTGGCAGTGTAAGTATATCCACTTAGCCATTTTGTCTCAAGGGTGTCGTAAAAGGCGACAGAGCGAAAATGGTTAATGGTTAAAATGTTACGTGGTAGAGCCATGCTGCAGCTATATTACGGATATGATATAGTTGTAGCACGAATGGTTCGGCTCGACCGGGGAAGGACTACGCTCTCACAGAATATCAGCGTAAAATATCAGCTTAACGCTGCTGTGTTTCGTATGGTGAGTGTAGAAAACCGGAGACCCCTTTTTACTGGAAACGAGGCATTCCATCTTAGTGCTCACGGGTAGACGACGTATCTGCATTTTGATTCGTAATCGAGGATAGATGTAGATATCTATGGGCCCCAGCAACCACTTACCAATCAGGTGGACTGTGTGCTCGTTTGTCACCAGCAGCAGCACTTTCTAATTAACACTTTAAATAATAAAAAACCGCGGTTACCAACCCGGTCTACAAGCGTGGCAACTATGGCCAAATCCCCACATTAGGCAATATATGAGGTTGGCCTATCTTCAGTAGTGAACTTTTATAGGCTGTTATAAAATGGAAGACTTCTTTATTATGTATTAAAATTTCTCTAACGACAATTTTAGTATAGCGAGTAATGTCAAGTAAATCCGATCCGATGCTCATCTAGAGCAATAAAAATGTAATATATCTGATTCAGAAACATCCATTTGCAGTAAAATGAAAATTTTGTGAAGCAATTTATCCTCTTAACATAGTTCTTTGTTGGAAACTGCTTGTTGTTACCATCAGCAATTTTCCACTTGCGTAACCGTACCGATTTAAAATGGATTTCCCATTGGAAATTTTAAATTCGGTACTCTTGCACAAGTGCAATTGTTGTGGTTCCGACTACTGTCATTTTGCTTCCAATTTAAGTAATTGCTTCGATTAAGTGAATAAAATTATTTTACCTCGTGTTAAGCATTATGAAAAATTGAGTTATCCCACAATTCTCACTTTTTAAAATTTGAGTTCGAATCAAACTCTTTGTCGTTTTTACTGGGCTATTTTCCTATATTATGTGTTTGCTTATTTTATGTCTGGAGTTATTTTCTGCCTTGTATAAGGCTTGTCAGCTGGTACATTCTTAGAAATGCTTTTGCACAACTGTAGACTTTAAAAGACTGCTACTACTCACAACGTATCTGCATTTTCATTCGTAATCGAAGATAGAAGTCTATATATATATATATATATATATATATATATATATTAAAATTACGTGTCACGTCGTTTGTCCGCGATGGACTCCTACTGAACTGATTTCAAAATTTTAAATATAAATTTTGCACGCTGTGTGCATTTTGGTCCAACTTGAGAGATAGGATAGTTTTTATTCCGATAATTGACCCTCAAAAATTTTTACTGCGAATTTAAGGATTTTTATAGAAGGGTCGTTGGAAAGGGCAGAACAACGTCTACCTGGCAAGCTAGTATTTAAATATTTCTTATCACCAGCTACCATTTTTACGTTACATTCTGTTACGCTTACCTATTTTTGTTTTCCTTTTTTTAGTACAAAACACTTATAGAAATGAAAAAAATACACACAATTTTCTTTTAGAGACCAAAACAAACATATAAAGGTAAGTAAGTTATATTCTGATACACCTAACACAAAAACATTACCATATCTAATCACCTAAACTAGACACTGAACGGATACAGAATTTGTTCGAAGATTTTACAAGCGATAATATTGATACGAGCTTATTTAGCCTAATGAACTAAGTGCTCCCGGATCCCGGATTAGGATTGAATTTGAATGCTTCCCTCTTTGTCTCTCGGTTCTTATTAGAACTCGACAAAGACCGTCTATGAAAGCAATCGATAGGAAACGTGCACTAAATGGGTTTAGAAAATGTTATGTTTGTATCAAATATTTTCATCCGTATTATTTTAATAGAATAGGACACAAGGCCGGGGAAAAAGTTTCTTCGTATTTTGTTATCTCTTTGGTTGTACTATTTGTATATGTAATAAAAACTGGTAGGTTTTAATATTAATACTTAAAGGACATTAAGAATTTTAATTAAGAAAAATAAAAAGTAAAAAACACTTTCCCGCCATTTTTCAATTGTTTTTCTGTCCGCCAAAATGAGTGAATCCAACGAATAAATTCGATACATTCTGAAGTTTTAATACAAAAAAGGGATAAATGCGATTCAAGCCTCGAAAAAAATTTGTGAAGTTTATGGACCTAATGCAGTGTTAGTAAGAGTAGCAGAAAGTTGGTTCAAGCGTTTTCAGTTCGGGAATTTTGATATCAAAGATGCACCTCGCTCTGGTTACCCTCATACGGATAAAGTCGATGCCATTTTTGAAAAAGTGGCTTGAGATCGGCATATTTATAGTTACGGCATAGCCGAGAAATGGAGGATTGACCACATAACAGTTTTGACCCATTTGAAGAAGTTCGGCAATACATAAAACTCGATATTTGGGTACCACCCGACCTCACTGAAAGAAACCTAAAGAATCGTGTACTCATTTCCAATTCACTATTTAAACGTAATGAAACCGAACTCTTTTGGAAAAGATTGATAACTGGTAATGAAAAGTGGATCACCTACGACAACAACATCATGGTCACAGGGCAGTCAAGCTCCACAGACTGTAGCAAGACCCGGATTAACTCGCAATATGGTCATGCTATGTGTATGGTAGGTTTGGAAGAGTATCGTTTATTATGAGCTTTTGACGCCGGGCAAAACCCTCGATTTGGATCTCTACTGCCAACAACAAATGAGACTCAAGCAAGAAATTGATAAAAATCGGCCGGAATTGATCAACAGAAAAGGATTGTTCTTTCATCATGATAACGCCAGACCACACACATTTTTGCCACTCAGCAAAAAATTAGAGAGCTTGGTTGGAAAGTGTTAATGCATCCAAGTAGTAGGTGAGAATTGGGGCTTCTGCGTCACTTTCTCTCGCTTCGCTCGAGCTACATGCCCCTGAAGCCCCCAATTCTCTCCATTAGAGGTCTAAATTTTTAGTCTAATTCTCGATCCGCTTTTTTTATCTTTGCTCCATTACAAATACCGTTTCATTCGGAATCTCAAATACAAATGGTTCAATAATATAACAACAAAATATGAAGGCTAATCTATTTCATCGTTAAAAAATACAAGGTGGCACAAAAAAAAACAGTTACTTTAATAACAAGTACTAATCGTTAACGGTCTGAAACTATTTTTTTTTTCTTCTCGAACACAAAGGTAGTTTAAATTAAAAGATGAAGTGTTTATTTACATATATTTTATTGGATATCACACAATCATTTTGTTTTCACAACACCATTTCTTAATACATAAAACATTTTTAACGCACATATTTTCTTATGAGTAAAACAGTTATACAGTAAAGTATCTTTACAATAAAGTTCACAAAGAGTATTTAAATTGGGAGCTCCTAAGCAACTTATATCTATGATAGTATTATTTTCATCACAAATATCTTGCACCAATTTAATTTTTTCACATCCTTTTAAAAAATCTTTTTATCTTTCAAATATGTCTTTATAATTCTGTGAAACTCTCTATAATCAAAAAAGCCCTCACTCCATCGATACCCTCTGTGCTTTTCAATCCAGCCAATTTGTTTTTTCTCTTCAGGAGATAGTAAAGTGAATGGGTAAGGAGGTTTAATTAGGAATATATTGGTGTACTCTAGAGTGGCTATAGCAAACTCCTTTACTATAAATTTATTTTTGCTATTTTTGAAGCCTTGAAGATCGACGATTATTGCTATTCATGATATTTTCTTAACGATATTACTCAGTAGTTTGTATTCAAATATACAGTCGTTTAATACCAAGCAATAAGCGGTTCTCTGATCTGGTATTTCTTAGTCTGTTTTGATTTCAACTCTCACATCGATCGAACCTTTTAAAGTTTCCTGTTGTCTTGAACAATCGATTACAAATAATGAAGCCACGTCTCTGAACTCCTTTAAACTCATCAACGGCTCTGACCGGCGTCCGTGATACGACTGTTGAAATCTCGCATACTGATCGTATAATAAAGTAAACTTATCTTCTGAAAAACTGACATTCAGCCCCTCATAAGGATAATATGATGAATTTAAAAAGACTCGTACATCTCGTACGTGACAATGATCAAACTCTGCCATTGATAATTTCGCGTTATGTTTGCGGTTGGTTTGCAAGGCGATGACCACAAATCGTGGTTTCTCTATTTGCGATGAAGTTTTTATAGACCAAGTATGTTTGCGTGTTTTGGGTAGCAATGGATATTCATATAAGTCTCAGGAACGGAATGCTAATGGAATAGTTCTATCTTCCTCTAAATGTTTTAATAGGCTGATTCTTTCACGATATGATACTTTGATGTGTGAAACTCACCAAACAATTTTATTTATTATAATATCTTCTACAACTTCACCTGTATTTAACTTGATCGCATTAAGGTTTGTATTGCTTCGTAATAATACTAACTCATGTTTACAATTAATTATAATTTTTTCATAATCTTCTGCAAATCCTAATATCTTGTTCAATGGTATAGACGCGGAAAACGTTCCACCACTAGCATTGCTTGTTCCGCCAGTTGACCAGCCCCAAACTCGAGCACATTTGGATTCATTTTCATATAATGATAGATAAGATTTTATTGTAGTAGTGACACCAGCTTTCTTAATTTTATCTATTTCTACTCCATTAAGTTCATATCGTATGTCTTGAAAAAGAAATAGTACGGGATTATTGACAAAATGTACGTTTGATACCTTTTCTTATGTGGTGCTGTTATAAACGTTCACTTTTCCCTCGATATATAAACCACTGAGTGAATGTAGTACGTACAGGTCTTGTTGATTAATAGGAATACGTATTTCGTCATTCTTGTTAAAACTAGTTACATATGGTTTATATGAATAATACTCAAAACTTTCAATGCTGTTATCGTATGATGTTTGTTGAGATACGTTTAAAATATTCATTTTACCAAGCCAACCACTTAAGAAATTCTTTGTTAGACTTGGTAAGCTTCTTTTTTAGCTGAAGATTTCTTTTTTAGCCTTTATGAGATGTTCTTTTAAAACTGGCTTGGATACACGAAGTAGACGGGCTTTTATTGTAATTTATTTTATTTATTTATTTTATTTATCTTCACGCACAATCCCTGACGGGGTAGCCAGAGAGAACAGATCGCCAAGTGTCACGATCCATACATACCTCTTTCGCTTCTTTCAGATTCATTATCTTCTTCATACATGCACGTCTAGGTATCCGAGTACTCTTGACCCTACCCTCTTCGAGCAATTTGCTCACATGGTCTTCGAAAGTTAGTCTCGGTCTACCTCGACACCTTTTAATATTAACTTTCGCGCTATATATTTTCTTCACCATTCGGTCTTCACTCATTCGCTCAACGTGCCCAAACCACCGAAGCACGCCCTTATCAATTTTTGTGATAAGGTCATCTTTCAAACCTGCCATATTGCGAATCTCTTCGTTTCGCTTTCGGTCGGCCATCGTAACGCCGCACATTTTACGAAGAGATCGCATCTCCACTGCGAGTGTTCAGGGGTGCTGACCTGGGAACGGATCACTATCTAGTGATTACTAGATTTAGGGGTCTGTTCGCGGGTTGGCGCTACCGGACGGCAGTGACAGAACCACAGTCGGTCTGTCGCATCCGAAGCTGGAAGCTTCAGGAAGCGGATACTAGGGACAAATATCATGCGAGGGTAGCCGAAAAGCTTGACACCATCGATGGCAGAAACGAATGTGTAGAAAGAACATGGCTGAACCTTAGGGATGGAATGGTAAGTGCAGCGGAAGAAGTGTGTGGAACAATAAAAAGAGGCAGTAGTAAAAGAAGAGATGCATGGTGGAATGATGAAGTGAAAGAAGCTGTAAAGAAGAAGAAGAAAGCATGGTTAGACTACTTGGCCTCTAGTAATGATAAGGATATGAGAGAGAAGATGAAAGAAAGATATAAGCTGCAGAAAGTTCACACGAAAGCATTGATTGAGGAAGTGCGTGAAAGGTGTAGAATGGAAGCGGATGAAAGGTTGTCGCACAACTTTAAGGAGAACTCCAAACTCTTCTGGAAAGAGGTTGGAAGGACCCGAAGTGGTGCGACGGCCTTAAGAATGAACAAAGTGCTTTCGAGAACTAATGACGTCCTCTCAGAAAAATCGGACGTCATGCAGCGATGGAGCGAATTTTATAGAGAAATGTATGCGTGTGATGATCTTAGTGAGGGATCCGGGGATGACGCCGTGACTGGTACGCCAGACCCGGACCTCGATGACACTGAGGTCATCAGTATGAAAGAGATTGAACGTGCGATTCGAAGTTTGAAATGTGGTAAGGCTGCGGGACTAGACAGAGTTACTGCTGAAATGGTCAAGTATGGTGGGCCTCGCGTCTGGGACAGCTTTCATCTGCTGTGCAATTTGTGCTGGCGGACGGGGGATGTCCCGGATGATTGGCGATCCGCAGTCATTGTGCCTTTATATAAAGGTAAAGGTTCACATTTTGACTGCGGGTGCTATCGGGCGATCAGCTTGACCAGTTTAGCAAGTAAAGTTTACTCGAAGGTTTTGACACGTAGGATGCAAGAGAAATCGGAAAGATTTCTATGGGAGGCACAATGCGGATTTAGACCTGGAAGAGGATGCACGGATCAAATGTTTTCTCTCCGCATGATCACAGAGAAGCTTCTGGCTGCTAACCAGAAGATTTTCTGTGCTTTTGTGGATCTTGAGAAAGCATTTGATAAGGTTGTAAGGAAGAAAATGTGGGAACTGTTGCCGGGGTATGGTGTGGATGGTCGATTGCTAAGGGCTGTGCAGTCTCTTTACTGTGACTGTAAAGCCTGTGTGCGGGTAGGGCATGACCTGTCACCCATGTTTAGCGTCCAAACGGGCGTAAAACAGGGTTGTGTCATGTCTTCCTGGCTGTTCATACTGTATCTCGACAGCTGTTTACAAAAGCTGAAAGATACCTGTTTGGGTGTGGAATTGGGTGACATTAAAGTAAATTGTCTGCTGTATGCTGATGATGCAGTGCTTATTGCACCATTAGAGGCAGAACTGCAGGCATTAGTCACGTGTATGAAAGAGGAATGTGAAATTAAAGGTCTCCGTTTGAACGCTAATAAAACTAAGGTTCTGGTATTTGAAAGAGACGAAGAGAGAACGAAGTGTGAAATATGGGTAAATCAGGAATGTCTAGAACAAGTAAATGAAATTGTATACTTGGGGAGTGCTTTTAGCCGGGATGGAAGATGTGATTTAGATGTGGACAGGCGTGTCGCTGCCGGGAACAAAGTCAATGGTGCCCTGACTGCGTTAGTCAAAAGGCAAGGCGTAGTGAAGAGTGCACGCCTTGCAATACATAACGCAGTGTTGGTACCGACTTTGTTATATGGCAGCGAAACCTGGGTATGCCAGAAGAAGCATAAAAGCAAGTTGAATGCAGTGGAGATTGTAATTTATCATTTTTTTTTTTCGGAAATGTAAATACAGTTGTAATTTATCTCTTTATTCTCAGCGTTCAATAACTTTATATTGATAGCACTTATGGAACTTTGGTTAACAGGAAAATAAATCAAGTTTCTAGGTTTTTCATTTATTCCATAACCCGGTGGTACATTAGGTGCAAATTCATAAATTATATGGCTTGCTTTCCCGTTGACAAATGAACCACTATATACATCGCATTCAATCCGCACGATGGTTGTCGATAGAATACTGACAGGATACTTAGATTCAGTACTTATATTCGCTTTTATTGTTTCCATACCAAAGCCTAAAATTTTACCAAGTAATTCGCTTCTATTAAAGTGCACATCTTCAGAGCAAAACATATTTGTTTCAATGTATTATTGTTACAAGCTAGTTTTAGTACAGCGTTCTTAATATTATTTTTTAGATAATCACAAATATCTTGAAGCCCGTAAGACCCTTCAGGAATTTCGATCATTTCTTTTTCACCATAATAAAGTTTATTGTTTCTATATTGAGAATAGAATTGAAAGTTAAAAAATACAAAAGGCCACATTCGTAGTCTCCTCGTAGTTCTATTGTCGGTGAATAGTTCGTTGATAAAGAGGCTCCGGTCCCAGTTATAAACACAGTGAAAGATATTTTTATACTGATATGTTTATTTATTTCATACACTATATAAATGCTTTTTCCATTAATTCCTTAAAACTTTTAGACAAAGATGTCCACAGTATGTAGCACCAAACGCTTGATGTCGCGTATAATTATAGTTAATAGGTTAGTTATGCATATATTTAACTAATTCTAACGGGGGCTTTAAATTACCAAAACTATCATAATATTCTACGTATTTATTGTGCTTTACAAAGGCTACCCAATGTGTTCCAGGATTTCTGTAGCTATCCAAATTCAGTATTCCACATTCTATCTTTCTCGGTTTCAAAGGTAACCGAAAGGTCTCATGAAAACGCCGCGAAAGTATGGAATTTCACTATGTTCTAATATGACGAGATTAGTGAGCGCCCGTCTGGGTAGCCGTTTAATTCGTTTTTTGAGGGGTTAAGATATAAACCTGCTCCTTGTTTATGAGGTTTAATATATAATCCTTTTCCTAGAGCAACGGCTTCCATCATTCTGTTGTGTCTTTCAGATTCCTGAAGACTCTTTTGTGCTGCTTTTGAATCATTAACAGCTTTTGCTATACCCATTGCTCTACTGGCTAATGATCCTAAAGCTGACAATCCTGCAAATATGGGTATAAGTGGTAAAAGTTCTCCACACTTTGTAAGAGGAATACAATGGGGTAAACTTCCTTTCTTATTACTAAATACTTTCTTTGCAGCTGCATAGGCATATTTTATAGCCGAGTGACTGTCTTTGGATTTTAGTTTTTTCAACTGAGACTGTATTTTTTTATCCCCTTCTTAAATGCTTTTATACCACTCCCTGCCCAGATTTTCGCTTTCATCGCATTTTTGACTATCCATGAGGCAATTTTTTCTCCTTTCCTAGCATCTTCTGATTTCAACCTCCTCTTAACTTTTTCAAAAGTTCTAAATCCGCTTTTTGTCGAGCGCCCGAATCTTTGTTAGTGTAAGCAATATCAGGGAGCATGCACGCTTCATCCGATTTGTTTATCCCAGGATCGCCTTTAAGTAACCGTTTTTGAAGTTTTTGAAGTAAATTGTCTATTACTTTATTAATTATACCACTGCATTCCTTCATCGATAAGTATAAAATGTGATTATTAAATAATAACACGTTATTTATATACCTAAACCACTAATTCACTTTTATCCACCAAACTATTTTCTTCATCACTCAAACCTAACCATTTTACTAAAAGCTTATTTCCTTTTCTTTTAATGACTTTTCCAATAAGATAAAGGTCTGGAAATTTAGTTTTTTGTTATTCGTAACCGTAAAAAGAGCCTAGAATTTTTTGATTGTGTTTGTCTTCTATTTGATAGGTTTGAGGATTGGTTTGTTGACTGTAACGATACGAAATATTTCTGTAGAACAATTAGGGGTATAACCTTTGTAAAAATCTCCTTTATATTTGCTTATACGAACGTAATCGTCAGCGTGAAACACCGGTCCTTGACGTATCTTAGGCTTTTGAGACGTCTTGATGTTTGACATAACTAAAATCGCATTTGAATCATTAATGTTAATAGGCTTGAATTTTGTAATGTTTCATAATTTTTATGTTTCGTATTCAATGGTCTAACCCATACGTATTTTGATAGAGCATCGATTACTACTAGAACATATTTATATCCTTTATTAAATGCTGAACATTTTTGAAAATCAATCAGGTCATCTTGCCACACGACTATAAAAGGAATAGATGATTATTTATTCCTTTTATAATCGTATGTTAACGAGAAAATTTTCTTCTTGCTGCTTTGTGAAGCTCATTGACTATATCTTGTTTACTCATTTTAGGCAGGTTTTGATGCAATCATGAGGTCGATTTCCTTTTTAGTGTAATACCAATGTATATATAATAGGACAATTCCTTAAGGCTTTAACTAGCCTGAATGACCTTGACGAAACGGCGATCGCAGAGATTTTAGCCGATGTCAACACCGTCTAGCAACTACGTTCTGTATTACTTAGAAAGTGCAAAGATTAATAGACTGCAGAGATGACAATTATATAAGTGACATACTGCCTGTTATGCTTGCGCATCACTGAGAATTATGTCGCGGTTACGCATCTTCAATTACATTGCACGGTATGGTGCTGTAGCTTTGTCCGGTAGGCATCACAAGCTATCAAGTGTTCAAGTTTCAAGTACGTAAGAATTTTTATTATATATGTTAAATCGTATTTATTTGTGTCGTATTAAAAATATGTCGTCAAAGCGTTCGCTGTAAATTTTCCCGGGTTTGATCCCCGACAGCACGAATGAAATTTGTAATTGCAATTTTCGTCAACACGCATTGGGGAAGCACGGCGGGCATTTTCTTGCCCTAAAACCCTCTCAGAAATAAAAAAGAGTTCTGTGCCCAGTAGAGGGACTTGTATAGCCTATTACTTTACTTT